GGACGAATCTTTACACCCACCAAAAATGTAAATAGCGAGAAATGGAGAATAGAAGCAATAACGAAATTCACAATCTGTTTAAATCACCATAAATTACTGACATCATGAAGGCCAATAGACTGAAATGGCTGGGGCATATTAGGAGAATGTCGGATGACACATAGGTAAAAACGCAATATACCAGGGAGCTGAATAGTCATAGACCACGAGACAGACCAAGAAGACAATGGAGAGATAATATCCAGACAGACCTGCAAACATTTGGTGTCCCCAACCTGGAAAGAGAAGGTCAACCAGAGAGAAGAGATGAGGCGGGTGATATCTGCAGCAAGGAACCATAAGAGCTCGGAATGCTGAAGAAGACCAACCAGAGAGATGAGTGGAGGCGGGTGATATCTGCAGCAATGAACCACAAGAGCTCGAAATGCTGAAGAAGACCAACCAGAGAGATGAGTGGAGGCGGGTGATATCTGCAGCAATGAACCACAAGAGCTCGGGATGCTGAAGAAGACCAACCAGAGAGATGAATGGAGGCGGGTGATATCTGCAGCAATGAACCACAAGAGCTCGGGATGCTGAAGAAGACCAACCAGAGAGATGAGTGGAGGCGGATGATATCTGCAGCAATGAACCACAAGAGCTCGGGATGCTGAAGAAGACCAACCAGAGAGATGAATGGAGGCGGGTGATATCTGCAGCAATGAACCTCAAGAGATCGGGATGCTGAAGAAGACCAACCCGAGAGATGAATGGAGGCGGGTGATATCTGCAGCAATGAACCACAAGAGCTCGGGATGCTGAAGAAGACCAACCAGAGAGATGAGTGGAGGCGGGTGATATCTGAAGCAATGAACCTCAAGAGCTCGGGATGCTGAAGAAGACCAACCAGAGAGATGAATGGAGGCGGGTGATATCTGCAGCAATGAACCACAAGAGCTCGGGATGCTGAAGAAGACCAACCAGAGAGATGAGTGGAGGCGGGTGATATCTGCAGCAATTAACCACAAGAGCTCGGGATGCTGAAGAAGACCAACCAGAGAGATGAATGGAGGCGGGTGATATCTGCAGCAAGGAACCATAAGAGCTCGAAATGCTAAAGAAGGCCAACCAGAGAGATGAATGGCGGCGGATGATATCTGCAGCGAGGAACCTAAAGGGCTCGGAATGCCGAAGAAGACCAACCAGAGAGATGAGTGGAGGCTGGTGATATCTGCAGCAAGGAACCTAAAGGGCTCGGAATGCTGAAGAGGACCAACCAGAGAGATGAGTGGAGGCGGATGATATCTGCAGCAAGGAACCTAAACGACTCGGAATGCTGAAGAAGACCAACCAGAAAGATGAGTGGAAGCGGGTGATATCTGCAGCAAGGAACCACAAGAGCTCGGAATGCTGAAGAAGACCAGCCAGAGAGATGAGTGGAGGCGGGTGATATCTGCAGCAAGGAACCATAAGAGCTCGGAATGCTGAAGAAGAAGAAGAAGAATAATCACACTTGGACTTATTTTCAGGTTATGACTCACGTTCGGGGAAAACTAGTAAAAAATTTTATTACATTCCGACTGTTACTTTATGCTTCTGCTCATATAGCGGTATTATTTGCGTCTGATATCACAACGTCTAGTTTGAGAATGGAGGTGGAGGCAGTCTTTGCTGCCTTCCGCTGGCTTGAGAATCAGCTGTACACACAAGCCGTGATTGTAACTGACTAACAGAGCGTTTTGAGAAAGGTGAAAACAGGCATGCTTCGTGCAGAGTGGAAGGCATCACTTCAGAGGTCGCGGGTAGTTAGCATCTTTGTGATATTTTTTCCAGGTTATGCCGGTGTGTTGGGAAATGAGCATGCAGATAGATTGGCTGGCTCTGGACCACTTAGTGGTGAAGTGATGTATGACAAATTAGATGTTGTGAGGGAATTTTAGGAGCAAGTAAACAGTGCGGAGGCGCAGATAAATCACTAAGTCTAATGAGAATGGCGCTGCAAGAAGTCACCAGGGAATCTGGCCGACGTTTAACACTCAGGGAAAGGATGAGATGGATATACAATCAGACAGTTACTGGTACCATCGGAATTGGAACTCTTTGCTTGCTGCTGAAGATAGGGACTGAGCACTAATGGGAGCGTCCCGAATGATGTGATGTCGATTCTCAATTCAACATTTTAACATTCAGGGGTATTATTTCAACTCGTTTAGCCATATGTTTTGTAATTTCGAGGTCAAACTTGTTTAGATAGAAAATGTTTAAGAAAAAAACTTTACGGTACTGCACATTTCAAGATTAAATAATTTCGATGGGCAATTTATACCTTTCCTCACTTCAGTGATTTCTGGCGACCAACTTATATAGCGGGTCCGACACACTGCTGAAGTTACACTACTACACAGTACTAGCACTTGGAGCACTGTTTCCCAAACTTTTCTTAGTCACGGCGCCTTTTTTGGTTTAAATTTTTCCACGGCGTCTTTTTTGGTTTAAATTTATCCACGGCGCCTTTTTTGGTTTAAATTTGTCCACGGCGCTTTTTGTGGTTTAAATTTGTCCACGGCGCCCTAACCTAAGTAAAATTATGACTGTAAGAGATTTTAAAAAAATATATAAAAAATCGTGCATTTTCGAATCTATCGCGGCACCCCTGTGAAGAGGTTCGGCTTCCAGGGGCTCAGCGCGCACAGTTTTGGAATCACTAACTTAGAGCAATAGTCTCCTACCTGGAGATCCAAAAAGGCGTCAAGCAATTTTGAAAAGGTGTCCACCTGTACTTGTAACAATCCGTTATACGAACACTTTCAGTTTACATAACAATAAAATACGGTTTAAACTTTATTTATATATATAAAGTTTAAACCGTATTTTTTTTTAAAAATCATATTTTGTTATGTGGTGGTGGGGTGGGGCGGGGTCGCGCCATATGCTCAAGAGGGCGCTATCTGAAAAAGATTATGTGTGTGTGTGTGTGTGTGTGTGTGTGTGTGTGTGTGTGTGTGTAGATATCGCAACTCTTCCTCAATTTAATCCAAGTTACCGCGCAAGTCACTCTTTCATCTTCATCATTAGGAAAAGGATGGACAGAAAGGCGACTGCATGAGATCTCCTCCCTGGCACAACACTCATTCCCTGTCCTCACTGTCCAAGAACCTGTCAGGCCTGCATCAGCCTCATCAGTCATCTTCGTACTCATACTTGATGAAAAAGAGTGGTCATCATCATCTTGATGGACAACACACACAGTATAGATATGGAATAATATTCTATGCACGAATACCCTAGGAGATAATTTTTATAAGGGACAAAGGGGAGCCGCTTGGCCCACTCACCACTGATCACCTATTTCTCCCCCCCCCCCCCCCCCCCCCAACACCCAAGATAAAAAAAAACAATTTTTTTGTTAAGGAAGGGGAAAAAAATCCAACTACTGATAACAAGAAGTAAAAAAGCTATTAAAAAACACACACACACACACACACACAAAAGTTAAGGACCCTCTGGGCATATATGGCTAGACCTATATTTTATAGACCAATCGGCATTTGGTGTGTGATGTGTTCAACATCACACTGGGAGCCTTTACTTCCCAGGACTGCACCTGGTACTCCCTCAAGACTGGGTCGACTTTGGAGCCAAGGTCATTTGTGAAGAAAGCCCGGATTTCACCAAGACTTGAACCTACGACGGTTAACAAGAACACAGAGAAAGACTGCACATAAATCAAACTGTCACAATAACAGAAGAAACAACCCTCAAAAACTGGTCATTTAGTGTCCAAATATCAAGATGATGGTTAATATTGTCTTGGCTTGATGCTATCTTCGGTCTGATTTTGTACAAAGCACAATGGATATCACGCTCCACATGAAACTGGCAACGCATTTTGTTTCTATGCCTGATAAGGCTAAAAACCCATAGTATTTCAAGTCCAAATGCACTCATTTTAAAAATAGATTGAAGCCCAAATCAATAAAAAAGAGTGTCATTGTAAATGAGGATTGCTCCAGGTGCTAGACACTGCCCTTCTGATTCTCTGTGTGTTTACCCTATTTCGGTTTGGTTTATGCTTTATACAACTGACAACATCGTGGCACAAGTGTAGTAACCCATAAGTGCTAAATTCTACTTCTAACTCAAGCCTGAGTCTGAAGAATCTCAACACAGTGAACGAACTCCGTAGCAAAGGCGAGATATTGAAATACTTTAGGTAGATTTTTAATTCCAAATTTTTGCCCAGGCAGAGCCGTTAAGCAACTATTTTCGATTTCCAACTGCCAGTGGGCTTTTACGTGCACAACAATAAGACGTCAGGTCTTACTTCCTAGAGTCCACATGAAAAATCACAGCCTTCACCAAGGCTTGAACCCGGAACTAGCAGCACTCGAGGCGGACACCATGTCTCGAGAACACTTAGCCCTCACAACTTCCCATTCATTCTCTCCCCTAATCCCTGGATCTGAACTTCATTTTAAAATAATCATTCAAACATTCACTCAGAGTCACATCTTGAAGTCCCCGTTACCTCAAGCACACACATACAACAAGAATAAGGTTGCCGGTGAACTCAAGTACATAATTAAAATTAACAACAATGAGAATGTCAGTTATGGTACACACAAAAACACAAATTTGCCGACTGTGTATTGCGGAACAACGGAAAGTTTGCAATATTATCTCCACTGTCACCCATATCCGGATTGAGAAAGCGGATATACAAAAAAATGTTTACAGCGAAATACAGTTTACCTCACCAACCCTAAGTTTGTCAAGTATGTCTGTTAGTCATTAACTGGGATGTTTTGTTTGAATAGCAGCTACCACAGTGTTAGTTGTGTCACTGTCGGCTTCTGCTGAAGACTATTGCGACAAAGTGCTCATTTTCTCAAGTGAATTGTAATAAATTTTTGCTCAACGACTTCTGGTTGTCAGCTGTGTTATATTATACTTGGTCTGTGGAGGAGTACTTGCAACATCTGCAAGACAAGACCAACCTGACGCTGATACCCGCAGTTGTTATGTTAAGCATCTTTGTGGTCACGGGACTCATCGGCAACGTCTTGGTGCTGGTTGTCTACTCCAAGAAGTTTCGACTCAACCCCACTAAAGTCCTCATTATGACCATCGCTAGTTTTGATCTCATCGCCAATGTTGGGGCTATACCAAGTAATATACTTGTCTTTGCTTCTTTTGTCGAACTCGACATATTGACATATTTACCTCGCTCTGTTATATAAAGACAGTTATACATTAATTAAGTAGAAAATGCATGGATGGGTTGAGATGTGGTTATTTGCCTGGTGGGGGGTTGTGGTAATTTAAGTAAAGCTTTACTTTTCTTTCACGGCTCTTGCTACTGTTGCTGACTCTACTGCTGTTACTCCCCTTACCACCATTTTCCTCTCTTCAAAATAGGCGTGGTGTGGATTTGAAGCAAAGACCATTGACCCCATGGTTAAGAAACTAGCTACTACGCCACCGCGGCGCAGAGAATGAAGTGTGTTTGATTCTAAAGGTGTGAAGAAGGATCCGTTACTTTACTATTCCATTGCTGAAATCAAAACAAAATCGTCTAGTGATAAATCGTCTACAGCTGGAATTAAAGCGCATTAGCAAGGCTTAAGCCATAGACGGCGATAGAGAACTATAACAACCACAATACACACACAAGGAGCTAGAACATTGGTTCTCAACCTGTTGGTGCCGACCCCTTTCGGAGTCGAACAAAACATATTCACCACAACATGAGGAACTGTATTAAAGTGTCGTGTCATTATAAAGATTAAGAACCATCGAACCATAAGTTTGTAACAGTTTTGTGGTGCCCCAGTAATGCTGTGCTATAGCTGTAATAGAAACGTAACCTAATATGCATCAGTCTCAGCAGCCCACACTTTACTGAGCTTACAGCGCTTTTCTAGTGATTGTTCTCATGATGTACCCTATATAGTGCACATTTCTTTGTCCTAACCCGCATGCCAGAATATTGCCTCCCAGAGTATTTTATGGCGAGCTCCAGCAAGGGAAGAGGTCCCAGGGAGAACAGAAGAAAGCACTGTAAGGACACTCTCAAGACTGCTCTCAATTCTTTTGACATCAACACAGCGACGTGGGAGGCTGCTGCGCAAGACCGTTCTAGATGGTGCATCGGCCTGCCAGGCAGCAGAGGTTGTACAAGCAGAGAAACGGAGGTAGACGAAAGAATCGTATTGCTAACCCCACACTAGTTAGCGGTTTCCATCTGTTGTCCGCATTGCTCAAGAACTTTCCTGGCTCATATTGGACTAATCAGCCACTTTCGTACTCATAATCATTGATCATTACTACTTTGGATGAAAGTGGTCTTCATCATTCCTGTTGGACAAACAACGCACATTTCTTTGTATTATAACTGTTGACACCGGTGTTTGTTCTGATATTTCTTTTATTCCATCGCCTTTTTTCAGTTCATTCTACTCAATGCTCATATATTTCTTCAGGCATTTTTTCCCTCTATCGAATGATATAGTAGCATTTTACAGCTAACACAATACACATAATGCACCCCAAAGCTGTGAAATGGGACTTAAGCTTCAATATTAGAACGGAACCAGCTTCATTGCACTACTGCGGTTTCAATTGACTAAGGCATCCAGGTCGACCCATACTAAACAGTGTTCAGTTAGTCAGCTGCAAATCCGTCAAATGCCGTCACGAACCGACCCCTAGCAAGTTTCATCTGCCTGTGGTTTCACTGAAAAGGGTTCTTTAATAATATCTTACCCTCAGATGACGTCACGGTACAGTCCAACATTTTAGAGGGTGGTAAAACTTGGTTTGCCGTCTTTCTAATGCTTTTAACGACCCCAAAACACTTAGAACTGGTTCTAACCACAACCCACCTACGTCCCACGAGAGAGTGCAGCCTTGGTCCCACGAGTGCTTGCAGCCTAGGTCTCATGACTGCGTGTAACCTATCTACCACCCCCTGAAATATTAGACTGTCCCATGACCTGTGGATTACCCTTATTTTTAGGATATTAATAAAGCACCCTATACAGATTAAAGTTTGACAATTTGGCATTACTTCTTAAACGGTTCTGCACCACTCGGTGCACTCAGTAAACCATAAAGAATTTACATAATGGACTTAAAACATTAGGATGCGCGCCCTGTCTCATCTCTCAGTCACCAGCGGCGAGTTTCCAAAATAATGTTGCCATTATGTGGTCTCGTAATTGGGAAAAAAAATGACCTAGTGCTTCCCAAACAAGTATGTCATAAAAATCGGCAAATTAGGTAAGATTTCTTTGACGTCGAAGTGCATCTGTCAGAGAGGCGGGGGAACCACCAGTATGCTTATGAACAAAGCAGAACTGTAAAATAGGCGGGCATGTAAAACTCATGATCTGGAACAAGACGAAAGATCAGAAAGCAATACAGTAGGAATGAAAATTTATAACATTTACCAGTTCTTAACATTAATCAGAATTTTTGAACACCTCCGTAATTAAATGACCTAGATAATGGTTCGGTGGTGAGAGGAAAGAGAGGTGCCTGGGAGTTCGTAGTAAAACCCAGTGGAAAATCTTTAGTGCAAGTCAGCCTAGAATACGACACTACAACACCTAGCATGAGAATGGAGGTGGAGGCGGTAACTGCAGCTAGAGTGGCTAGAGAAAAATGTGCATACACATGTCGTAATTGTATCAGACTCTGAAGGCAAGATGAGAAAGGGGAAGACAGGAATGCTTCGAGCAGAGTGGCTAGCTTCACTGAAAAGGTCCCGGGTAATGAGCATACTTTTGATATTTTCTCCAGGCCATACCGGTGTGGTGGGTAACGAACAGGCAGGCAGATTGGTTGGATCTGCACCACTGGGTGGTGAAATGATACATGACAAGGCTGATGTGGTCAAGGCCATTTGGGAACAAGCAACGGAGTAGAGAAACAAGATTAGTATGGCCTAGAGAGAATGAGGCACCTGTTTGTAGCCATTGGTTCTGAGCGGCTAATTACACTCAGGCAAGACGGACATATAACTAGATTGTGACAGGTACCATCAGCATTGGAACTTTGCACTGGCTGCTGAAGATGAGGACTCTAAATTACCTAGGTGAAAATATACATTATGTTATTATTTTCAGGTGAGATCAATATTATGTTTGACTCCTGGAATTTCAAGAGCCCAAGTGTCTGCAAGTCTAAAGTCTTCCTTGGATCTTTCACTACAGTTGGAGGAGCCATATCGCTGTTGGTGGTTGCAGTTGTGAGGTTAGTACATAGATTTCGTCTTGATCCCATCATAAACACAGACGTGGTTTAGTAAAATTGATAGTATTTCTTGAACCTGCCATGAAGCGTATACGTCTTATAGTTTCAATACAGTTGGTGGAACCATATCGCTGTTGGCGGTTACTGTTGTCATGTGTATTCGGAAATTTATTCTTGATCGCGTACTGATCCGCTGTGGTGTAGCGATTGGACGCTCGCCTCAGGCCGAAGTTCTTAGGTTTAAATCCATATCTAGCTGAATTTATTAAACAATAATTACCAAGTAAAGTCATGGGAAATAAAGGTGGCAGACCAAGTCACTCCCAGAAGCCCAAAAAAAAAAAAAAAAAAAAAAAAGTAAAAGTCCGTTTTTCACGCCTTTATGTGGCATATAGCGCTAGCCCTATATTTTTTTAGACCAATCGGCACAAGATGGGTGATGTGGTCAGCATAACGCCGTCCTGCTTTACTTTCCGGGACTACCCGGTACCCACTCAAGGCTGGGTCGATCTGGGAGTCAAAGTTTTTTTTGAAAAAAAGTCCTGCTCCGCCAGGGTGCGAACCTATTACCCTCCTATCAGAATGCGAGCGACTAGACGCTACACCACAGTGATTGCCAATTGGACTATAAAATGTAGATTTAGCACTACATGCTCAATAGACCTGATGGCTCGGAGCAGTGTGCCTTACTTTACTTTACATCAGAGATACAAACCTGGTAAAGAAAAAAACGCAAAGCTATGAAGCATACGAGTCTTAAAGGCTTCATAACAGTTGGCGGGACCATATCGCTGTTGATTGTTGCTGTCTGAGGTTTGTGCCAAAAGTTAGTCTTGGTCACTTCAGTGATACAAACCTGCTTTAGTAAAACGCAGAGCAAACGATTTCTTATAATACCAAGGAGTATGTTAAGTGTAGAAGTTTTTTGCGGCTCTGATAAGACAAAAATATGTCTTTCTAGACATGATGCTGTTATGTTGCCAGTCTTCCTTATTTTAAGATCTTTTGAGAGGTCATTATTTCTTTTCTTCTTGTTCCATGTTATAATGAGAATCTTTCTATAGTATTTCATCTCGAAAGCCCACATTTTCTTCTCAAATGACAGCGAAATAGTCCAAGACTTACAACCGTATGTTGCTAACGCGAAAATGCATGCTCTCAAAATTTTTACTTTGATTTCCTTGCTGATGCTCAACCATATATCGTTAATGCATTTTTTTTTCATGTACACGTTTAATATTACATTTGCATATGAAGTCTTATTTCCTCTTCCTGTCCACAGATACCGCAAAGTATGTAGACCATACGACTGGCAAGTTTCCATCAGACAAGCCATTATCGCAAGCATCGTCACTGCCATTATCTCCTTCCTGTTTGCCATCCCCTACATTATCATCTATGGTGTCACGACGAGAAAGACACCATGTCCTAACATCAAAGGACACGAATGTTTCGCAGACGACGCCTTTTTCTACACGGTGTGGCCGCTGGTTAACAACATCTTATTTGTGTTGCTGTATTTATCTTTAAGCGTGTCGATGGTCGTGTTGTATGTTTTAATAGGCGTGACAGCCTGGAAGCACAGTCGAATGTTTGTAGTGGCACACGGTGCTGTAAGATGCGCAAGAGAGCACAAGCGAAATGTTAAATCTTGTGAGGCCGCAAAAGCTAGTCCAGTCTTTAGGACCCGACCAGTAGACTCAACAGACACAGAGCGAATTGTGTCTCCTGAGAAGTTCTCGAGAGTCAGATCAGCGAAAGAACTGTTTACCAATGTAAGAACGAATGCTCTTTTATGTTGCAAAAATCTGCAAACGAACGAGAAAAATGAGGAAGATACAAAATCTTCTTCTCAAAAGACTTGTAGTACTACAGCTGCCACTGACAGTGATGCCATCAACAAAAGCTTGGAAACTATTAACTCAGAATCAAGTCTACCTTGCAATTCATCGCCTATGTATGCAAACGCTGTGCCTGCAAACAACACTTTTCACTGTCTTGACCACACACCAGAAATGACTTCCGAATCTTCAGATCAATACAACACGAGTGAAGGTGTCATCAGATTTGACAAAAATGAAGGACTCGGTAATGAGGTCAGAGTAACATTAAACTATCAGTTAGTACAGCCTGTTTCGAATGATGAAGAAGGAAAAGATACTCAAAAGCATGAAAAGGACATACTGAAATTCAAACAGAATCAACTAAACACTGAATCGAGCAACTGTAAATCAAAGCCCGTTGCTAACGCCAAGAAAGAAGAACGACGTCGGCCATTAGGCCGAATGACGGCCATGTTGATAATTATCAGCGCCATCTTTGTTCTTGGATTTCTTCCGTTTCTATCGTTAACTATTTTTAAAAATAGACTTCCGGAGACGTATGCCAGCCTAAGCATGGTGGAGCTAACTTTCTACAATCTGTTCTACAGATTATATTTCCTAAACAGCGCTGCTAATCCCATCATATACAGTCTGTGTGATATCAACTTTAGACGTGAATGTATTCGCTTACTAACGTGTCAGTCAAGAAAGCGGTTTATATAATGTGTGACATAGCGATATTTATACCAAGTGCTTTCATTGAAAATCGGCTTTTCAAAGTCCAGCAATAATGTGATGAGAAACCATTGTATTAAAAAAACAGTAACGAACAATATGTATTGGAAATCTGGTAGATAAGATGCGAAGTGTGGGAGAAAAGCAGTATTCTAATGAATGTCATTGTGCCGATAAGCGTGGGCGACCACGATGCGTGGGTGACCTCAATGCTTTACACTTGCGATTTTCAACAGCATGCACTACTTCGCGGGCTGACATCGTTCTATGATTCGACAAAAGGCTATCAAGAATACTCTCTTGTTTGAAGATGGTTGCATTTAAAAGTTTAACAATTATGAAATAAGCAGATAGCAAAAAGTTGGTCCTAAAAAAATACAAAAACCTATGCATACTTCAGCGAAAGAAAAACATGTTGCAAAATTGTAAGGCAAAGTTAATATAGATAATGCAACTTTGAGCGGGCAACCGATGATACGTTTAACTGCTAAGGACGATGAACTGCATTTCTAGTGGCGAGCTGTTTGTGTTAGCAATTCTGACGGCTGAATTTTGCAGTTTAACAATTATGAAATAAGCAGATAGCGAGAAGTTGATCCTAAAAAAAAAAACGTATGCATATTTCAGCGAAAGAAAAACACGTGGCTAAATTGTAAGGCAAAGTTAATATAGATAATGCAATATTCAGCGGGCAACCGATGATACGTTTAACTGCTAAGGACGATGAGCTGCATTTCTAGTGGCGAGCTGTTTGTGTTAGCAATTCTGACGGCTGTATTTTGCAATTACATTATTGTGTGTGTAGTCTATTGGCTTTGCTGAGACTGAAGTCTGTTTCATGTTTTGTTTTTTCTCAAGAGACGACAATGGGTTTTCTGTGTAGTTTTGGTTATAATAGGAACGGAGCAATAATGACCGCAAAGATAAAAGATGAGTGTTAATAATTGCTATAGACGCCGACAAACGGCATGATTAAGAATGCAAGTTAGTACAAGATTCTTGCTTAGTCGATCAACACGTCCTTTAAAAATACGTCGCTCTCTTCACGGCAGGCCTGAAAGTCTATCTTTCTTCAGCCGATTCTCCAGCCCTGTGTGCTTTCAAGGCCAGTGCATCTTCAATGTCCTATATCGACTTTCATGAAAGTCGGTCTCTACCTCGTTCTCCAGAAACTATAGTCTCCCTCACCGTTCTCTACAAACCACCATGACGCTTGACATGTCCGAAATACCTCCGATTTAGAGAGAGGATGCTGTTTATGAGCCAGTTTTCCTTGATATTCAAGTCATATACAATGTCGACGGTTATCTTCTCTTTGTTCGACATAATTAAAAAAAAAAAATAATTCTTTCGCCTTTTGGCTCAAAAGCTCAGATTTTCTTCTTCAAAGACAAAGAGAGTGCGTGACGCTTACAAACCTTAGTCATCCCCTTGCGGGATGTAATTTTTCGTTTTTTTGAAGCCCTACTCTGGCTCTTGCCATGGGGCCGCAATATAGCCCGGCCATAAATATGGTCTAATGGCTGAACGCGGTTTCTGGGACCTCTCCACTGGTGATCCTCATCCACATGGTGTCACTTGTGTCATCGGGTGTTTATCGCTTGTGTGATTTCCTGGTGGGGTAGAAAGTCAGTTCAGTTAGTTCAGAGAGAGCGTGACTCACAACCATAAGTTGCCACAGGAAAGATGCATGACCTTAAAACTTTTACTTTAATTTGACTGCAATTGCCATGTTATCGATTCTTCATGCTGTTCAGACTCAGACAGCTAAAGCAAGACCTGCTAGCTCAATGAAATTTATGCAGAATTTGCCTACCTTCTCCTCTAAAATGTACTACAAATATACGCACAAGAACTGAACCAAACTTCCAGAGGTTTTCAGACTAGTCGAAGCCCCAGTGATGGATCGTTATTATTTACACAGCGTTTGCAACAATTCTGTAGCAAAGATGACTCCGAGCTCAAGAAAAACGGGAATACAACAGCAAGAACACGTTAAACGAGACAACAATAATAAGACAACAGAAGAACATTTGCTCCTCGACTTCTTACATGGAGACTGAGTATGTAGGGACATGAGCTCAGTGCAGTAGCAACAGTGTAGAATAATTGTATGTGAACGATACAAATAATTTATGTTGTAAATAATGTTGGAATTTAATTTCGTGTATTGAAAATACGACTGCTAGCCATTTTTGAATATTGAAAACATACTCTTAACTTATGACTTTATTCTCAAATTAAAAATACCTGATAACTATACTTTTCTTATTTAAGAATTCTTGCCCTCTTACACTCAGTCCTAACAATGTCAACTCAGTTTAGATGGATTTAAAATAAATAACTTAGTTCTGCTCATATTTTTTTAAATCACTCAGCTACCATTATAACTGTGTTAAATATTTTCTCTTTGTCTCCCTCTGACTCTCTTTTTCTCCAGCTTTTCTACTGTCACAACGAACTCCAGTTTTCTCCTTCTCACCTCTTGGCCAAAAAATATAGATTGTCTCTTTATGATGTGGGTAATCCGTTCTCTTCGTGAATTAGTTTTTTTCAAAGACATCTTCATTACTCTTTTCATCTATCCATTGTATGGCGATGGCGAGAGTGACTAGCAAGACCCGCCCGCGTTAAGAAAATTATTCCCTAATTATAGCGTTGGATTTCAAGACCGCATTTGCCATGAATCTTATTTAGTGAGTTTTTGTTTTAATTGTGAACGCTCTGTTCTCCCAAGCTCTGTTTTTGTAAATATATTCGTTGCTGTTGCTGCCTTATCTATCCTACCGTTGATTTCTTGATCCAGCGAAACATTGTTATTAACTGCGGATCCCAGAAAGGTAATATGTATAACTGTCTTCAGCACTTCACCATCTGTGGTCTGCCATTGACATCCTGCATCTTAACTTATGTCTTCGTTTTGCTCATTGTTAGTCCAAATTCATAGAATGTATCAGCAAATGAAGGTAGTAAAAAGATAGTTAAATGGAAAAACAATAAGAAGCTATGGTCACAATACTGTATAAGCGGAGTCCTTGGCTTAGGCGTTTCGAGTCCGACTTGTAATTCCAACGTACCGCGATCGAAACCCACTGCTGGCTGCGTGGATTTGTATCATGGTATGGGGGGGGGGGGGGGGGTCGCGGGTCGACCCAGCCTAAGATATATGACCTGGGGAAGTAAAGACGACCGGCGTAATGCTGACCACATTACCCACGTAGTGCCGATTGGTCTGTAAAAATGTGGGTGCTCTTTCCGTATGTCCGATGCGCCTAATAGTGTGAAAAGGGGATCTTTACTTTTTACGTACAATACAGTATAATGTTTAGTTTAGTTAGTTGCGTATCATTTACAGGACATTGCAGAACCAACCCTAACAGCCCCTGGCTGTTGTGAAGTTTTTCTAGGTAAATTTACGTCCAGTAGTTTGCCATTGCTTACAAAACGGTCGGCTTTCTTGATACCACTGTCGAAACCATCGCAAGGCGCATGACCCGCCGCTGGAATCAAACCCGGCATTCCGGCATTACGAAGCACAGTACAATAGATTGTTGTATTTGAATCATAACATCATGCTGAGTTGATTGTGTTTACTCGTCATTATAAGTGTCTATGTGACTTGACTTATTCTTTGTTAGTTCTTCTTCTTTGTCGCCTTCACCGGCTGTAAACTTTGATGAAAAGTTTTTATTTGCACACTTCTGATCGTTTTGTCCCAGAGCTTAAACTTTGCGTGCACATCTGTTTTATAAATCTGGCTTATTTACATGCAGGCTGTTGGTTATTCGCCTCTCAGGCGACATAGAAGAAAAACATTCATAATTAGTAGCCTAATTTGGTAAATACAATCATTAACAACAGTTCTATAGTAACTAACTAATGGGGAGAACATGGGGAGCGCTGCATGCAGTAGCAAAGGATAGAAAGATTTACATTAAGTTTGCTGAGGGCCTATGCTTCACTGGAAGACAGAAAGCAGAAGAAGAAGAACTGACCCTGTTTACGACAGTGGCACGTGAGATATATTATGCCAGACTCATGTTTTCTTAGACCAATCGGCACTCGATAGATAATGTAGTCAATATATCGCTGACCGCCTTCACTTCCCATGTCTTTACCTGATACCCATTTAGGCTGCCTCGACCTTGGAGCTAATATCATTTTAGAAAAAGATATATATATATATATATATATATATATATATATATATATATATATATATATATATATATATATATATATATATATATATATATATATCATGGGAATTCGAATCCACTTCTTTCAAGCCGCCGCTACTCTACCGCCACTGCCAATTTTATTTTTTAGTACAACAATTATTTACCATCGCTTGGTTATTCCCCTCGCAGGCAGATGCACATTGACTTAGAAAGAAACATCTCTAATTTGAAGCAGTTTATGACATGCTGTTCAATGAGAAATAAAGCTGCATCTAACTGAATAAAACAAGTGATCAGTATTATATGGCAAAGTAGCTGTGGTATCGCTGTGGAACAAGAGATCTTGGGTACACATTGTTTAACCATCAGTCAAGTGTGTTTCTTTTAGCGTTCTGAAAACCAACAACATTTACGGGTCTTTTTGGTTTTTATCGCCACTTTTGAGCTCGGTACATGGTACATATGTTTGTCAAGCCAAATGTCTCAACAGCTATTATTTTGGCCAGCGTTTAGCTACAAGTGACGAGGTAAAAAAAAAAAAAATTAAAACAAATGAGATGGGATGTTATTAAAAAAAGCTACAGGAGAATAAAAATTAGGAAATGAAAAAGCTAGGACAGAAAGGAAATGTTTACGTACTATGCCAGGTGTAAAGATAAAAGGTCGAATTAGGAACGATGATATCAGGAGGAGAGTCGCCACAGAACCAATACTGAACTTTATAGGTCAACAACAATTCAAATGGTTTGGCCATGTAACAAGACTGGCATCAGACAGGGCACCACAGAGAGCAATGTTATACAGATA